TCACCGGTACCCTACCCTAACCACTTAAACCTCGGTTAGGGTTTTCTTAGGGTTTTTGTAGGGTTTAGGGTTCCTCAAAACCCCCCTACTTCCCCGTCCTCTTCGGGCACCCTGGACCCGAACCACCCCTCCCCCTTTGACGGCGCCCGTGCTAGCCTTGCTAGCGCCGTTCGCCGCTTTCTACTGCGGACTTCCCCCTACGCCCTCCGCTCACGCAGACCTCTCGTGGCCCCCTCCAGTCCGGTCCGTCATCTCCCCATGGCCGACGATGCGTCACACACCGCCGACACGGCGATGACCACGGCATCGGGCTCTACACCCGTGCCGGCGGACCAAGTCCATCAACCCCAGGGGGATCTACACACTCTTCTCACCTCCCTCTTTGCGCCCATCCAGGCGCAACTCGCGACCCTTGCGCATATCCAGGCGCAACTCGCAACCCTCGCGCCCTTACAGGTGCAGGTGGTGACCCTTGCCGCCGGCGTGCAGCAACTCCAAGACGCTGCGTGTCCGTCATCTCCTAGCTCCCAGTCCGGGTCCCCCGTCCCCCGACAGGGTGGCCACGGCGGAACTTCCTCCTCCGTTGCCCCTGACCCGGCCATCTTGGTGACTGTCCACGCCCCTAGCACGACGGCCGCCACGAGCCAGGCCCCCCCTCAGTCTACGGGTGCACCCGCCTAGATCCCGGTCACTACGGCCACGGTACAACAACCCGCTACCATGGTCTCAGCTTTTCCAGATGCCCCAGTTCTCCCTCCCCTTCGCACGACTACAGCGCCACCTGGCTCTCCCCCCTCTGGGATGCCCCGCGCCGCTTGTGCGCCCACCCCCTCCACTCTTCCCCCTGCCACCCCTCGATCGACCTACGTTTGAGGTCTCGCGGACGAGATTGCCCAGCTCCTTGGCGACCTTGCCCTCTTACGCCTTCAGCCACCCCCACCCTCACAGGTGGCCGCGCCTTCGGGCGCACCCCCTACCTCCTCTACCCTTCCTCCCATGCAAGCTCGCTTTCCGCGCCCTGCACCCTATACAACTCCTTCCTACCTTCTTCCTACTCCCGCGGTTGCTGCGACCTCTTCTACCGCAGCACCCTCGCAGCCTGCCGCTGTTGCCACCACCGCTTCCCCATGCGGCCTGGGCGCACAGTCAGCTGCGCCCCTTTCTCCAGGACCTGCGCCGACTTACTCAGCCGTGGCACATGCCTCCGCTCCTCGATCCCCTCGCCGCCAAAACGGTGGCGCCCCACTCATCCGCTTGTCGGACATTGCCTTGTATGACGGTACAGGCATACGTGTGTGTCGGTGGCTGCAGTCTGCCACCCGCACACTCCAGCTCATGGGCGCCACACCCGAGACGTGGGTGGGTCACCTCTCCACGCGCCTGCGTGGCAGTCCTTTCGAGGCCTAGGACAATTTCTATGCCTACTTCCTTCGTGAGGGTCGGACTCCGACCTTCGTGGATTTCCAGGCGTTCCTCGAGGATCGCTTCGGAGCCCGATACGACGTGACTGACGCCTTCGAGCGTGTCGTCACTACACGCTGGCCCGGCTCTGGTGGCGCTGCCGGCCTAGATCGCCACATCCAGGTCTTTCAGGACGCCCGCCTCGTTTGCGATGTGGCGTTCCTCCCCGAGGCTGCCCTTATCGATCGTTTCTTGGCCAGCCTTCCACTCGAGTACCGCTCCGAGCTATGGCGGTACAAGTTCACATCGGCCTCATAGGCTTACGAGGCCGCCAGGGACCACCAGCGAATGCGAGCCCGTCTTCACCCCGCCTCCTCCTCCCAGCCCCAGTGCACGGGCTACGCCTCCTCCTCCTCTCACGACACTTCCCAGCGCCATTCCCCTTTCCGCGGTCGCCCCCGCCGTTCCACGCAGCAGGGCCGCCACTTCTCGCGCCGCTTCAGCGTGCTGGAGTATGGTGAGCAGGACGCGGTTGCCCCACTGTCACCTGAGGGCGACCACCGCGATGACCTCGATTTCTGCGAGGCCGTCCACTATCACTTGGAGGACTCTACCCTCCCTGCAGCTGAGCGCCTTCAGCTCGCGCTCTCCGCCCTCTCTCGGGCACGCAGCCGCCCCGGTCACGCTGGCGCGTCGCCCCCCGAGGTCCATCAGGAGGACCTCCCTCAGGGCTTCGTCCCTCCTCGTGGTGTCCTTTCCGCAGAGGAGCGCGCGGCTATTCTGGGCCGGCATGGGTGTTTGCGCTGCCGCTTGGACGGTCATACCTCCTCGCGGTGCCCTTACACTACCGCCCTCGACTGCCACTACGCTGACCTTTCTCGTCAGCGTCGTGCTCAGTCCCCCCCCAGCGCCTCACGTCCCCGCGGCGCCTCCTAGCCACGATGCAGTGTACACCTGCGCCCTCCTCAGTAGTGGGTTTTTCGACATCTGCGTCGCGGTTCGCCCCTCTCGCTACCAGAGTTGAGGTATCGCAGGACTTGACAAAGTGTACTCAGCCCTCTGTCGCAGTACCGTCTGCGCCTCCGCAGACCACCGTCTCCCCTCCTTCCCCGCCGCGACTATTGACGCGTCGAGCCATTCGCTCAGCCCGTTGCAGCGAGCAGCTTGCTACTCGCGAGGACGTTGTGTCCTCTCTTCTGGACTTGAGCATGCTCCACGCTCGTCAGGAGCGACTCACCCTCCATGTCGCTGCACTGCGTTGCCTTCTCGCCATCCTCTCTGAACCTGATCGCACCCTCCCCGATCATCCCAGTTTGACTCGGGACCTCCACGAGGGTGTACTCAGCGCTGTGGGATTCCGGTTCTCAGGGCGACTTCATTCACCCACGCGTGGTGAAGGAAGCCCGCTTTCCCATGACAGGGTCTCCGACTCCCATCTCCGTTACCCTAGGGGATGACAAGACCCAGCGCTTCTTCGATCAAACGGTCACCGACCTCCCCTTCTTCCTCACTCTCGAGCCGACTGATCGCTCCCCGGCGTCTCGTCGCCACCGCTCCTCTGCACATTTCGATGTGATGGAGACGGGGTACGACTTCATTCTCGGCACTCCGTGGTCTCGTCGGTTCCGCAGAACCGAGGCCAATTGGGCGACCAACACTCTCGTTCTCAAAACGAAGTGTGGACAGACGTATCGCGTACCTTTCATAGGTACCATGGTGACACCACGCGCCGATCCTCCTCCCTCGGAGCCTTCAGTGCCCACACCATCTCCCTCTATTACTGTCACCTCGCCTCGGCAGTTCGCTCACTTCATTCGACAGGACGACGTCACCTTCTTTATGGTGGACGTGACGGATCTCTTACACTATGATCCACCCTGTCCCGACGCCGAGCTCATCCCTCTGGAGCCAGATGCTCCCTCTATCTCCATGGCTCCCATCTCTACTTCCGTCCCTCCGCCGTCCGTCGAGTCCACCACGTCGTCTCGCGCTGACGCTGACGCTGAGGAACTCGCACGATAAACGGCTGACTTGGAGCCCGCAGTTCGTGACCTCATCCAAGAGTACCACGACGTTTTCCCATCGTCATTCTCGTACGTCGGCATCCCACCGATGCGTGACGTCGAGCACTCCATTCCGCTTATGCCTAAATATCGTGTTCACCACCAGACACCCTACAGACTCTCGATCCCCGAGGCCACCGAACTCAAGCATCAGCTTGAGGAGCTCCTGAGACAGGGTTTCATTAAACCCAGCAACTCCCCGTGGGGTGCACCCGTCCTCTTTGCTCGCAAAGCGGATGAAACTCTTCGTCTCTGCATCGACTATCGCGGTCTCAACCGCTACACGGTTAAGAACAACTACCCCATGCCTCGTTCTGATGAGCTGTTGGACCGCCTAGCTGGCAACCGCTTCTTTACGAAGATTGATCTTCGTAGCGGTTACCATCAGATCCGCGTCGCTGCAGCCGACCAGCCGAAGACCTCGTTCCGATCGCTATTCGGCCACTACGAGTTCACGGTGATGCCATTCGGCCTCACTAATGCTCCCGCTACCTTTCAGAGGGCGATGAACGACATCTTCAGGGACATCCTGGAGCAGTACGTTCTYGTCTACCTCGACGATATCCTGGTCTACAGTCGTATCCTTGAGGAGCACCTCAGACACCTTTGCGACGTCCTTGACCGCTTGCGCAGACATGGCTTCTACGCCAAGCTGAGCAAGTGGCGCTTTGCCCAGCACAAAGTGGATTTCTTAGGACACTACGTGTCTGACTAGGGTCTCCACATGGACGACCCGAAGATCACTGCTATTGCGGAGTGGCCCGCCCCCACATCCACCAAGCAGCTTCGCAGCTTTCTAGGCCTGACCAGCTACTATAGTAACTTCATCCGGGGATACGCTAGGTATTCCTACGTCCTTACCTCCACCCTCCTCCGGAAGAACCCACCCTRGGCTTGGACACCCCTCCACGAGGATGCCTTCTGCGCCCTCAAGAAGGCGGTGACATGCGCACCAGTTCTTCACCTACCCGATTTTGATCGCCCTTTTATCCTTACCACCGATGCGTCATACTTTGCTGTAGGAGCAGTGCTTTCTCATGTTTTCCCCTCCTCTCCTGATTCCTCTCATCCTCGTATCCCTCGCTTCCCACCACCTACCCCTACCACTGCTTCCCGACTGACGCCTACTCGTCCAGCTACTGACGAGCCTCCTATTGACTATTCTCCTACCATCGCTGACGAGGACACTGTCGAGACTCGCTCAGGTGATTGTCTGATAGCCTTCTACTTCCCTCAGCTCCTGCCCGTCGAGATAAACTACACTGCTGATGAACGTGAGGTTCTCGCAGTAGTTTATGTCGCTCGGCACTGGCGTCACTATATGCACGGGGCACCATTTACGGTGCGCACGGACAACTCTGTTGTCCAGGCTTTTCTGACTAAGCCGAAGCTCACTCCCCGACAGGCTCGCTGGTGGCGCGACTTATCCGAGTTTAGTTTCACCACTGAGCACATCAAGGGTGAGACTAATCGGGTCGCAGGTGCCCTATCCCGCCGCCCTGACCACGACCAGGAGCACATCCTGCTCTCTTCCATCTCGGTCACCACCGTCCACCACTCGGTGATCGATGAGTTTCGCACTCAGTACCGCCACTGCCCCAACTATCGCGACATCCACGCGACCCTTCGAAGTGGCAAGACCGTCCCAAACTACTCTCTCGGGGACAACGGTCTTGTGTACTGGCACGGTTCACAGGGCACGAGAGAGCCCCGTATTTGCGTTTCCTCCACTGGACAGCTACGTGTCCGAGCAGTAGCAGAGTTCCATGACCAGGCAGTCGCCGGTCATACGGGTTTCCACAAGACGTTGGCTCGTGTGAGCCGCCTGTACGTCTGGCCGAAGCGCAAGGACTTTGTGAAGGACTACGTCGCCGAGTGTCCCACCTGTCAGGAGGTGAACAGTGCGAACCACCTGTCAGGAGGTGAATAGTGCAAACCACCTGCCTTATGGTTTGCTCCAGCCTCTTCCTATCCCTGAGGGTCGTTGGCAGTCCATTTCGATGGACTTTATCGGTCCTCTTCGTCCTCCGACCCCTCGCAGTCATGATGCTATCCTGGTCGTCGTCGACCGCTTCACGAAGCGTGCACGCTTTGTTCCGTGCCGCTATGCCATCAGTGCATGTGAGGTCGCCGACATCGTGTTTGACCGAGTCGTGTGTGACCACGGCTTACCTCTGAGAATCATATCTGACTGTGACCCGCGCTTTACTAGCCGATTCTAGCGACGGCTCCACGAGGTATAAGGCACTCAGCTCCGCTTCTCCTCGTCTTACCATCCTCAGACTGATGGTCAGACCGAGATCACGAACAGGGCTCTCGGAGATATTCTTCGAAAGATTATTCGTGACGACCAGCAGTGGGATCTTCATCTTGCCCACGCGGAGATAGCCTACAACCACGCCGTCTCGCCAGCCACAAGGATGTCGCCTTACTATTGCGACCTCGGCTATCACCCTCGTGTTCCTACGGACTTTCTTCGACCGTTACAGATGCACCCCGACACGAGTTATCCCGCGCTGGATGATTGGGTTGCACACATGACGTCGATCATGAAGACCGCACATGAGCACATAGCTGCTTCCCAAACTCGCATGGCAGTAAGTGCGAACCGATCGAGGATGGACCATCCATTCAAAGTCGGTGATGATGTGCTTATCGACGCCCGCCACTTACAGCTCGAAGCGGACACGCTTCGCAAGTTTCGGCGTCGCCTCTTTGGCCCATGCCGCAYCCTCCAGGCCGTCAGTTCTGATACGGCATCTAGCCCGGTCAGCTTTCGTGTGAAGCTGCCTGACTACCTACGCCAGGCTCGTGTGCATGATGTCTACCACGTCTCGTTACTGCGTCCTTACCGCAGACMGTCTGAGCGTTTCGCTGGACGACCATACGAGCGCCCTCCACCCCTCATGGTGGACGGCCACGAGGAGTTCCTCGTTTCAGACATCATTGGTCGCCGAGTCACCGAGAACAACCCTTCCCACGTCGAGTATCTCGTACGTTGGACGGGTTACCCTGATGAGGAGGCTACCTGGGAGCCCCTCGAGCACTTGCAGCACGCTCGCATGTTGGTGCGTGCTTATGACCGTGCTCGTCGTGCTGGGTTCACTGCTCCTCCTCAGCCCACTGACCCTCCTCCTTCTCCCCCGACTGAGGAGACCGCTGAAGTCGACCTGCTCCATCTGACGCAGACCTTTAGCAGCAGCCGGATGCTTCTGAGCGTCCACAGCGCACCCGTCGTCGTCCTGCTCGATACGACCATTGACTCTGACTTACCTTCCCACGTCCTTGACTTCTCAATACTGCATCCACTCCAGTTTTGCTACTTTGGCTCGTCGACGTTGCGGCTTTTCCTCGACGGCATTCCGGACTTCTCACTGTGGACGTCATCGGCAGCTTCATGGACTTCGTCACCATCAGCTCTGCCTACTTCAGACGTCGCCATTCTCTTACCACTTTACCCTGTACAGTACCCTGCTTGTGTCGCGTGATGGTCTCCCTTTAGCCGGGTTCCTCTGAGTTGGGCTCTCCCTTGGTATTCTCATAGGCATCGGGACCGTAGCGTTGCCCTGGCTTCCCATCTTACGGATCTAGCTCCGACTTCCCTCACTTTAGGAGTCATTTGCATGATTCCCTTACCCATCATCTTTCTACCCTTCGCCGGCCCTCACGCCCTAGTTAGGCAGCCCCGCATGCTTCATCTAGGTGCGCCCAGTATACCAGGCTCCCCTGTTCCCTTGCATGGTCGACCCTCCATAGCGGTCACCCCTTAGTCGAGCATTCCCCGCCCTGATGGTCTATCTGTTAGGGTCATTGGTTCTGTTCGCTCCCAGTTCCCTACCCTCATTGAGCCTGATGACATGTGTTTTCCCCTGTCACTATGTGTGGATGCCGTTAGGAGTTTTCGACCCCTAGGCTGCATTCGCCACCCTCAGAGACCATCCCACCCTTTGGTTTGCGACACACTTCTCATGTGACATATGGTTGTCTTGTTGATTGCTTTGTTGCTCTTAGATTAAGGCTACTGCCTCCGACATTTCTAGGATTTAGTTGTTCTGCTTTTGCTGTTCTTAGGACTTATACACTAGTCAGTTGTTACCAGACTGAAGCTAGTGCCTCCAACATTCTAGGATCTAGTTGTCACTACTTTCTGCTTTCCTAGGACACGTATGCTAGTTAGTTGTTTTTGCTTTGCTAGGACATGGATGTTCGTTAGTTGCTTCTGCTTTCACTTAGGCTGTTAGCTGTGACATTGTTGTTTTGTGACATTTTATATCCTAGGTTGCATCGCATGGACTCAGCATGGAGCTTGCTCCGCATCCTAGACTACCCGGGTTTTCTTTTCTTTGGTAGAGTTCCGCTTCTTGGCGGAAGCATGTTTGTATCTAGGCGATCCATCACAGGCCGAGGATCGTGTAGCGGACCTCGGGTTGGCCTGTGAGACCAGCCCCTTGGCCTGTTCTCACAAGCCTGTGTTGTATTCGGGGTAGACCAGTCCAGGCCGGTACCTTTGTCGGTACCAGCCAGTCCAGTCCAGTCCCGTCAGTCCGCTGGGGTATACCCCAGCCATTGTCTACTTTCAGTCTCATTCTTCGCTTGCACATTTCTGGAGTACGTGCGTTGGAGTCCTGCGTGGGAGCTGCGCTGTGCGTCATCTTGCTCCCCCTTCTTCCTCCATCTCCATCTCTATCACTAGCGGAGCACCATACCTGGTGGGTCCGCTACACTCCTCCCTCCTCCCTCCTCCTTCCTCCCTCCTCCCTCAGTGCGAGTGCTTGACCAATAACTGTTTGAGATGGTAATTACGATATTGGGCCTCACTGCACTACTCTCGAAATGTGCAAAACGAGAGTGAATCTTCCGCTAGAATACGAAACGATACACCGCCAATATTTTTGTCTTTTGTGCATGTCGAGAGTAGTGCAGCGAGGCCCATTGATCTGCTATTTGCTGTGCAGTTGGGGTGAATAACGGTATCATCATCTGTTGTCGGCACCGGACTTGGTATCTGTCGGATTTGCACTTGCCACTTGGTCTACGGAGCGAAGGTGTGCGACGTCCAGATGGTAAGTGTGAGAGAGGTGTGGGTAATGGCGAAAGGCTGAAGGATATGCTTCGCTTTCTTTGTGATGGGAAATTCGTCAGTTTTGATGGTAGCGTATTCACCCTCACTGGCACTAGCCGTTAATGGGAGACCCAAAATTCAAAACTGACGCAGGGTCATAATAAAAACATAAAAAAAAGCGAAGCATCACTACAAACAATGTTGTCGAAAATTTTGCAAACAAACTATGCAGGGTCATAATACAAACATAAAAAAAAAAAAAAAAACGATCAAGCAAAAAAAAATAAAAAATAAAAAATAAAAAAAAATCAAGAGCACTACAAGTAGCTTTCGGAGTTCCTTGGATCTTTCTCCGAGTCTGGTGTTTTTGCCAAAATTTTCGTAACTTGTCGCGAATATGGCGAAACTGAATACAGATATACCCTAAAGCACACATATATCAAATGAAAAAAAAAAAGGAGAAAGAAGTAAAACTTGGGAGAAATATGGCAGTTTCGGTGAGAAATTCGCTAAAATTCGCCGAATTTTTGGCCTTTCATTAACCGCCTCTCCTCACTGGGCATTGAGCACTGTGGTTGTTCATTTTACCACTCTTAGGGCCTCGCCACACCACTCTCGAAATGTGAAAACGACAAAACTATGGCAGGTGCATCTGGCCGTATTCTAGCAGAACGTTCACTCTCATTTTGCACATTTCGAGAGTGGTGTGGCGATGCCCTTAGTTGTTCGCTAACACCTCTTCTGAAATAGACAACTTACCGGAATCCGAGTGCGTGACGTGAAGGACACTTGGGGACAGACAGAGTGGCGTTTGGAAACTTGTGGGCTGTTGTTGCTTTGACGTTTTTTTTTTTTTTTTTTTTTTTTTTAAGAACTTCGACGTTTTTTAGAGCTCTATATATGGACGTTTGTTGTTTGGGAAATTTTTCGAAATGCCGCCCAAGTGCAAGGAACATAGGTATGGACGAAGCACAAAAATCCAGAATGCAAAATCACACTGAAGTCCAAGTATTCAAAGCCAAAGCAGATAACACATCCGAAGTACCACCTTCGCCCTCACCTCCCCTGCACCCTCATGCGGCCCGGCTATGGCCGCCAGTGCCCTGCACGCAGGCAACACCCTACTGCCTAGCGCTGGCCTGCTCTGTCTTAGTGCAACCCTTCTCTGCATAGCGCTGCACACTTGCATCTGTGCAGCGTGCCCGCATATGCCAGCATTGGCCAAGATCCCTGCTGCCTCGCCCTACTTGCCTATATGCCAATGCAGCGTGTGGGCAGCCTCCCTTCAGCCTGTGACCGGGGCCCAGAGGCTGAAGCCAACTCGATATAGTTGGGCCCCCCGGCAATGCAGTTGCGCCTCCTTCATCAAGGCCTACGGCCAGATTCAGACAGTGGGCCGATTTCCCTTTGGCATTTTCAGCCTCTCTACCCAGCATGCATTGTCGGCCTCACGTTTGAGTGCCCTGGACTAACTCAGAGGCCCTGGGCATTTCAGCATTTGATGAAATCCGAGACTCGGTGCACTCCAACCAACTGGCGTGCTGCAACTGCATAGACCCCACTTCGTGAAATGTTGGCACAAAGGGCTCTTGTTGATTTGCTGGCCCGCCTTGACCTAGTGGGGACACTAGGCTTGCTGGGGCCTTAGCCCAGAACATGTACATCATGGCAAGGCCCCTACTTGAGGGCTCAATCCTCACATTCCATCCCCCTTAGCTTCGAAAGTCCGCTRAAATGCTTACTTCGCAGGTGCCYTCCCTTTTARCTTSCGTTCATAATCTGCCACCACCWGAGGAGCTGTTTCCATCAGTTCCTCCCGGGTAAACCACCGATCTTCTTTAGGATCCGTATGATGCCTGAATCTGATCCGGTACTCCCTCTTGGGTTTATGAGGTCTTCCTCGACCCAGCGGCTTCGGAACAGGCATATCGCTGTTATCCACAATGGCGTCGATGTCGACTTGTCCATCCATGGTTGGGGGCAGCATCGATCTCCTGGAAGGGAATTGATCAATCTCAGCGAAAGGTGCAAGCTTTGAGGCATGAAAGACTGGGTGAGTGCGTAGATGACCAGGGACACGAATGACGTACGTAGGACCATCCGTTTCATCTCCCACTACATCCAAGACTTCCCAGGGACCAAAGTACTTGGGCATTAGTTTGCGAGATATTCCGAATTCCTGTCCTAACTCACTAGCTTTGACCCAGACACGTTCCCCTACCTGAAATGTGGACTGCCTGCGATGTTGATTCCCAAAAGCAATGATGACTTGCTGAGCCTTCTTCATATGTTCAATAGCCTCTTGCATCAACTTCTCATATTGAACACCGTATTCAAGTGTGCCTGGAGTTGCAAAAGGTCGGTTTTCAGGTAGGAGGAAGTCTAATGCTGATTTAGGCTTCCATCCTAAGTGCAGCTGGTTAGGACTGACGCCGGTACCTCTATGTATATCGTTGTTGTACAGGCTGGCGATGAGAGGTAACTGCTCATCCCAGTCATCCTGGTTGGGCTTGATGTAATGCCTCAGCAAGTGTTGTACAACTCTATTCATCTGATCGGCTTGCCCGTTGGCTTCGGGATAATTCCCTGAAGTCATTTGAAGTTGACCGCCCATCTGTTCCGCTGTCTTCTTCCACAGCTCACTTGTAAATCGGACGTCTCGGTCACTAATGATGGTCTTTGGTAAACCAAAGTCCCTTACCCAGTTGTCCTTGAATAACTTGATGACACATTCTGTCCTGGCTGTCTCTGGCATTGGTATTAGTCTACAGTACTTGGTGAATCAGTCAATGATGACGAAGATGTGCCTCTTACCACTCTTGCTGGTCACAAGAGTGTCCATGAAATCCATGGAAACACTCAATCCTGGACCATCAGGAATAGGTAATGGCTTCAATAACCCAAGCGGTGCTTGAGTTCGCGGCTTGTCCCGCTGAYAGACCTGACAKGTCTCAACATACTTCTTYGCGTCATCTAACATTCTRGGCCACCAAAATCRYTGTACTAAGTTAGMASTCGTCTTCTYGTAGCCAARGTKCCCAGTTGCGTCATGACATTCTCCTAAAAATAAACTACACAACTGTTCACTAGATGGAACTACCAATCTCTTTACTCCGGCCTTATCAAGATAGATTAGCCCATCCACCATCACAAACTCACTTTCTACGGCCTTGTCTTTTGCCTGAAGTTTGCGGATGATGTCCATCGTGAAAGGGTCTTCCTGATAGGCTCCCACCAATGATTGAGTCACTTCGCTAGATACGCCAAATTCGGAAACTAGCGCACCTAGGCAGTCTGCTCTACGGGATAGCGCGTCTGCGACCTTGTTGTACTCTCCCTTCAGGTACTCAAGCTTGAAATCATATTGGTCTATGACCTCAATCCATCGCTTGAGTGCATCAGAAAGAGCCGGTTGAGTCTTGATCCATTTGAGGGTCTGATGATCAGTCCTCAGATAGAAGAACCTTCCTAGAAGGAAGTGTCTCCAATGGACAAGTGCCTTGTAAAGAGC